TTTAAACTGGAGATTCCAGGAGTAAAACCTGGAGCCTTTTGTTTACTCAGCATGAGTCACTTGGAGACTTGTTTTTTCTAAAATAAGAATGATAATTGGCACTGCCACCAAGTTTCTACCCTTTCCTTTGCTACCTCAAAGTACATAAATATTTGATTTTATTTTTTTTACCTTAAGTGCCACTTCACTTTGCAATGCCTTGACTTGTCCCCCAGGTCTCCAGCAACTGAAGGAGAAACCGTACGAGCGAACAAGACTTCACAAAGAGCCGGGTCATAAAACTGGACTGGGAGACACCAGCAGCTTGGACCCCAACGTCCAGCTATGCCAGTGTATCGAAAATACTTTCATCGAAATAATTAACATGAGTGTCGGCGGAGTTTAAGGTGCGCCCAAAATGGAAAGGGCCGTTGCTGGGTACTTGGTAGCGGATGCTGACTTCTAGTTGGTAAATTCCAAACTGAAGCTTTCCAGGCCAAAGTGAAGCTACGAATTGGCTTGGAAGGAAACTGTATATTTTTCATTAGCTTTAATGCAAAGTTGTGGATGCAGCAGACAAACGCCGCTTTCAGTGAAAGCATCTTAAGGTTTTTGCAGTGGTCTCCGTGTCAACTCCTTCCGGAATCCATATTTGGTGGTTTTTCGAGGTGAGAGGCTTGCAAAAGCTGACCTAGTGTGTGTTTGTGAAACAGAGAAATTGCTACCCTGCCATTTTCTACTTCTTCAGTGTCTCAGATGGTTCTCTTCTGCCCTGTGTCCTGAGTTAAAGCCGAACCACAGTCTGAAATCTGTGGGACAACTTCCATTCAAGCAGATGCTCCAGAGGTGAAGGCTGGCTTGTGAAATGAACAAGGACAGTTTGAAAGGAACTGGGGGGGGAGAGAGAGAGAGATGCAACTTTTTTGATTGTTTAAAGTAAAAGTCTGCATGTAGTGGTAGGCCCCACTGGGTCAATTTTGGTGGGGGTTTCTTTCTTGTTGCCCCTATTTGCTTGCGCAGAGCCAGCTGAGGTTTGAAAGTCCCAGAGTGGTCAGCAGGGGTATATTTTTTAGGAAAGGGGGCAGTAGGAAACTCTTGATCAATGCAACAGAATTTTGGCCTCACCCGAAGTGGCTATGTGGTGGTTGGCTGGGACTGCGAAGTTCTTCTTAGCCATTAGGAGGGGCAGCAGGTGAGTTTCTCTCAGATTTTGCACCCAGGTCCCCAGCTGTCTATGACTCCCTCACAACTAATGCTTTGTTTCCTAGTCAAATTTCCAGTTTTAAGTACCAACATTTTATAGTATCTTTGGCAAATGTGAATTTTGCTGCAGATTTTTCTGGGGGAGGGGGGAATAAACCCTAAAATCATGTTTTTAAAAGCACTGTGTAAACTTGGCTGTTCAATATGTTTAGAGATGCCTGCTTGGGGGAAAGTACCAAAAGCAGTTTTATTGAAATGCATTTTTATTGTTGTGATGTTGCTGTGTCAAAAATAAGTTCTGATATGTGTTCAGGTAGCACAGAGCTAAGCTCAGTTTGTTTTGGGGGTTTTTTAATCTCAGTACGGCTTTTAAGGAAAGATGTGGGGTGTCTTGACTCTTATGGTGTGCTAATTCTCGGAGTGTAAAAAATTGACATACGAAGCCTGAAGCAATGTTCATGTTTTTCCTTGCCAACAACGGGGAGCAAATATTTCTGAAGTGATCCTTTTGTAAGTCAAGAACCCTAAAGTTTTTAGTCCTAGTTGATTTAGGTAAAAAGAATTGCATCTCAGATGGCTGTTTCAGTGGTCCAGTTAGGAAGTCCTTCACATATCCTGCTTATTATTATTATTGCATAGAAGTTACCATTTTAGTAGCGGAATGCCTCTCCCTAATAATCAGGTGCAATCTTCCAAGTGCATATGCAGATCTCTACCGTTTTCTGTATGTGTTTTTGCGCAATAGCTTGGTTTGGCCGTCACATTTAAACTCTTGTTAAAAGTCACTGCCTTTGCTCCATCCTGCTCCTTTGCACCAGGAAAGAAAGAAACCAGAGACTGGCTTCACATCATGTGCTAACCAGCGCTTATGGTTTTTCCTCTCCAAGCTTAATTTTTGTTCTTGGCATACTGTTTGTGGTTTGTTTGAGGGAAACAAGGCTGCGAGTGCTGGTTTCCTCCCCGATGGAGGAACAGAATGGAGACTTTTGAGCAGAGCACATACCACCACACTCATTGTTCATGTGAAATAGTTTATTTTTAACCATGGTTTAGTGGGACATCCAAGGCAGTCATTGAATGCAGAAGGGCCTTCATGGTTCAGGTACACAAAAGGGGTTGGATGTTGCAATTATATGGCATAGGGATCAGTCAGTGTAGGGCAAAGAGTCAAAACTGCCTCTGTCCTCTTCAAAGATGGTCAGTTGCCTCCTGTTTGATTTTAAAATTCTTCATCACTGTTGTTTAATTCTTCAGTGAAACCACCAGGTTGATCCTGACAGTGCTGTTCTGAAACCTCCTTTGGCTACATTTTTGGCTGAGGTTATATTGTATCCAGCTAAATCCTACTCAGAGTAGACCCACTGAAATCAATGAACCTAAGTCATGTCTATTAAGTGGATCTACTATGCATTGGATAAAACCCAATTCTATATGCCAGTATTACCTTCTTAAAATACAGTTTTTAAATATTTTAGCCAACTGGAAGAGAGTGATTTCTTAGACTCTTGTAAAATGTGTACATATGTTTTCATGCCTTCTGGTTTTCTTAGGCTTGTAATATTTTTATATACCATTGGGAGCATTTTATTTCAATGAAGACCCAGTGGACATTGTGCGTTTCTTATAAACATTTGTACTGTTCCAGCTCGTTGTCTGTCTTTATATATATACTGTATATCATCATGTATATGTCTTATATAATAATAGCAAGCTTATTCTCTGAGCATGCATCCGTAAGGAGTCCAAACGGAGCCACCCATACACAAAAAGGGGGGAGAATCAAGAGACTTGTGAGGACACAAAGGTTTGCAAAAGTACAGCAAATGGGGGACTGACTGTTAGAAAGGGTGGGAAAATGGGGGTGGGAAATTGAATAGAAAATTATTGGCTTGGTCAGTTGGCTGGAATTCGGTACAGGAGTACATCATGCTGCAACATTCTGTTGCACATCACACATGTTTTCTGTAATGATAACTTGTATGCAACTTGTGGCATCATCAGCTGTGTCTTGCCTATTGAATCTTCATGCATATTCTGGGTTCTGAAAGGGTTGCTCACAGTTCAAGTCAGAGTAGGTGGATAATTCTTTAGGAGAGTGGTAACCTTATGTGAATGTAGATATGAAAGTTATGCAGAGTGGTGTTTCACATATGGAATCAATACTTTCTGTACATTTCTCAGATGCAAACTTGTGCAATAAAAATGAAGAAAATGGCATCTCCTAGATGCAGAAGACCACGGGTTACCTGTGTAACAAGTGAAGCCTTGTGAACTGCGATTATTGCTTAATAAAACTCTGGAACATTACAACCAGCTACAGGTTCAAATGGTGATCTTCCCAAGGAGCTACAACTTCAGAGAGGAGTGGTAGCTGGGAGCAGACCTCAGTGGGTTGAGAACTCTCTGCATGCAGAAGGTGCCAGGTTCAATTCCTGGCATACTCCGTTAAGAAGGATAAGAAGCTAGTAAAAAACAGTAGTACATAAAACACACAATCCATTACCAGCACTAGGGCAACGTTGTTTTGGCTGTACGAGAAACAAAGCAAAAAATCGGCAGAAGCAATGCAGTGTTTTAAAAAATGAAAAACTTGCGCCAACCACAAGATGTCACTGTTCAGCTAATTGATGACAACCTCTGCCAAAAATATCCATCAAAAGTCCTCTCCAAAGAGGAAAGTGGAGGAATCTATATTGCACATTGTGATAGAATGAATTTACCAGATTTTTTTCAATGAATCCGGGGACACTTTTCAACTTCCTACTAAATAGATGGATTTTTGTCAGAGGACTGATTTGTAAATCTGGGGACTGTCCCCAGGAAATGGGGATGTCTGGTAACCTTATGATAGAAAGTGACAATTTTAAGCATGTAGCTGTGATTTTAATATAGGAGCGACTACCGCCTCTCTCTTGCGACCTTCCTAACCAAACTTAATAAGCTACAGCCCATTTTTTCTGATTATTGAGATGTGTGGCACTTGAGAAACTACCTTTCTTCCCATTGATTTTATTAGTATTAAGTGCAAGTTAATTGATTTTAAGAGGCAGTATGGTGTAATGCATGTGTAGGCAAACTAAGGCCCAGGGGCTGGATCTGGCCCAATCGCCTTCTAAATCTGGGCCACGGACGGTCCGGGAATCAGTGTGTTTTTACGTGAGTAGGTGTCCATTTATTTAAAATGTATCTCTGGGTGATTTGTGGGGCCTGCCTGGTGTTTTTACATGAGTAGAATGTGTGCTTTTATTTAGAATGCATCTCTGGGTTATTTATGGGGCATAGGAATTCTTTCCCCCCCCTTCAAAATCTAGTCCGGCCCCTCACATGGTCTGAGGGACAGTGGTCCGGACCCCTGCTGAAAAAATTTGCTGACCCCTGGTATAATGGGCAGAGTGCCCCCATCAAGTAAATCAATAAAAATAACTGATGTACTGCCCCCCCCTAAATCCTGGCTATGCCTATGACTGAAGGGCTGGACTAGATGACCCTGGGGTCCTTGCCAATTCTACGATTCGATTATGATGATTTATGGGGTTTTTGTCACGAAACATGGCACAGACATCATTCAAAAATGTGGTAAGCGATGTCCAGAGAATCTCCACCTTGGGAAATTTAGGGGAGGAGGCAGAGACGCCTGAAATTCAGGTAGGCCGCACTAACCGAGCGGCTACCTAGGCAACAGCAGGAACCCGGAAGACACGCCAAGCGTTGAGTTCCGATTAGAACGTTCCGATTAGAACGATTAGTTCCCAGGACGTTTGGATTGGACACGCTCGCGGCTCTTGATTGGCCGGCGGCAGCCCGTGTCTCGCCAGTGATTGGCTGAGGTGCCGGATGGAGACGGGCGCCGTGGGACGAGGAAAAACAGGCGGGAAGGAGGGCTCATCTAAACCGAAGAGAACCCGATTCCTGAGGTAAAAAGTGTGGCTCTTCTGCACGCGCGGGCCTGGGCTTGAAACTCGCGTGCTGGGCGAGTCCAACTCGCAAGAGGAGAGGGGGGGGAGGATCCCTTAGCTATTCCATCCTTTTTTTGAAGGGGGGAGCGTATGTTGACCGTTAATTCTGCCCGATGAAGGAGCAGCTACATATAATATATATATATATAGTACATAAATCTCTCTTTGTGTATATTTATGTATATAAACCCTCGTAAGTTTAGGAGGAAAGAAAAGCGGCGTAACTCTCTCTCTCTCGCCCCTCCCCCGTTATTTATAAATCAGAATTCAAAATAACATGAATTATGAGGTGGTGATCAAAACCCACATAAGAGTTGTCCTAAAAACATTTCACACTGGGTTGTATCCGTGTCAGCCCTGCTCCGCGTAGCCCCATTGAAATGCGTGGATAGGACTGAGGACCATTCATTTCAATGGGTCTCCTCCAGCTATGGCTGAGTGGGACAAAATTTGCTTTCTTCCCCTGCTTTTCTTTCCACACACAAGTTGGTTGCTGTTACTTATTAAACGGCGATGCTTCAAATCTATAGATGTGAATCCAACTAAGTTCTAGTTTTGAGTGTGGGCCTATTGAAATCAATGGACCTAAGTTAGTCAGGCATATTACTTTCCATGGCTTACTTAGGAGTAGGACTAACTTTGGCTGCTACGGCGATACTGAGCATTTCACAAGCCATTAAAAATAAAAACCAGACGCGTGTGAGTGTTTTGATTCTTGATTTAAAAAAAAAAACCGTCTTACATTTCTGTAAGACGGATTTTTTAAAAAAACCGCCAACCTCTTGTTATTACCCTTATGTACAAAGATGGCCTGAAATATTTTATGGGCACTTTGGGGTATGCAGTCCTGAAGTGACATGAACATTTATTTTATTATTGTGTTGCTGGTTGGTCTAGACTCCTTTGAGAGGAAGGATGGAATAGAAATTTAATCTCTGGCACAAAGTTTCCTTCAGTTTTGAGCCTCACCCCCTGCCAGCCTCATCCAACCCAAAACTCTGGGAGAATAAATCTTAGGGCATGAGGTACAACAACATCCATTTGGGCACATTTTGGAAATCATCCCTCTTTTTTTTTAATACACAGACACACAAAAGCCAGAAACTCATAGCTACAATTGAACACACTAGGAACTAGCAGATTTTAAAAAAATGTTCTTGGTTTTTTGTGTCTTTCGTACAGTGGTTTTGTTGAAATAATTGATTACTGTTTTGCATTATTATTGCTGTTTTGCATTTTAGCTTCTTGTGTACCATCCTAAGAGGAAGGTTGATACATAAATTTGATTACCATCTATTATATTTTAACATAATTTGTATACCATTTAATTGTAAATAAAGCTTTAAAGTGGTTTACAAAGAAGGTAAGATTGTGAAAGATATTTAACTGAAATCTTGGAGAACTGCAGCTGTCAGTGTAGATAATACAGAGCTACATGGACTGCTGGTCTTACTTGGTGTAAAGCAGCTTCCTATGTAATTCAGCCCTTTATCCAGAGGCATGAGGACAGAAACTTTATTTTTAGGTGGGAGACAAAAGCTCAGTGTTCAAGCACATGCTTCACAGGAAAAGAAGGTCCAAGTTCAGTCACTGGAGTCTCCAGGTCAGCCTTGGAGAGAGCCTGGGTCTGAAATCCTAGAGAGCTACTGCCAGTCATTTTACACAGTTCTGAGCTAGATGGACCAATGGTCTAACTTCATGTAAGACTAGTCGCAAGCAGTTTGCATTTATTTTTCTCTCATTCTTTGTGGCTTTTGCCATGTTCCTACAGCATCCTGTTCATCATTTAGAACAACTTTGCTTTTTTTTTTAATCTTGCAGATTTTAATCAAGAATTCTGAAAACTCAATGTGGTTATGGCTTCATCAGCGTCAGAATACACCATTGGAGGTGTGAAAATTCTCTTCCCTTGCAAGGCATACCCTTCACAGCTTGCTATGATGAATGCAGTAAGTTTATTCATTGCAATGAGATTTGTAGTTACAGTCAAGTAAATCAGATTTCTCAACCTTTTCTAGTAGTCTTCATTTTAAAATGTTTTCTAAAATTTCTGTTTTATGGTTGAGTTTTGTTTTTGGGTTTGTTTGTTTGCTTGCTTGCTTTTCAAATGCAAACCTCAAACCCAAAACAATTAGAAACGTTTACAGAACTGAGAATGAAATTTGCAATAATGCTCATATCTTGGTCTGGTCTGGACATAGCTCTAAACTGGGGCAGACTGAATCCAGACTTCTCCTAATTCCTCCGGGCCACTTTGACAGGTGCGTGGGACTGCCCACCTGTCCATCAACTCACCTCAGGTGAAGCCTTTGCCCTCTGAAATCAAATTGCGCTGGTAAAAGAAACAGAATTTGCACCTGCTGCAAACCCTGCTTCTTTGTCCCCACATAGTTTAAAATCATACTGCAGGCAAAGAAAGTGTTTCCCTGTGGGATGTGTTCTAATAATAATACAGTGGTGCCTCGCAAGACGAAATTAATTCGTTCCGCAAGTTTTTTCTTCTTGCGAGTTTTTCGTCTTGCAATGCACGGTTTCCCATAGGAATGCATTGAAAATCAATTAATGCGTTTCTAGGGAAACCGACTTCAGACCAGGTCCGGGGACAGTCTGTCCCCCGACCTCTTCTGAAGGCTGGGGGGGGGACAAGGGCTTTTCTTCCCACCCCCAGCATTTTAAAAAACCCCGGGACAGCGGAGGGCTTCTCCGCTGTCCGGGGCGATCTTAAAATGCTGGCGGGCGGCATTTTAAAATCGCCCCGGGACAGCGGAGGACTTCTCCGCTGTCCGGGGCGATTTAAAAGTCCCTGGGAAGGCAGGCAGGGGGGACAAAGACTTTTGCCCCCCGCCAGCCTTCAGAAGAGGTCCTGGACCTCTTCTGAAGGCTGGCGGGGGCGAAAGTCTTTGCTCCCCCCCGCCTGCCTTCAAAAGCTGTCCGGCCAAGGCTTCGCGGACCTCTCCGCGAGCAGCGGCAGCGCTGCCGCTGCTGGCGGAGACTTGCCGGCATGCCGAAGCCTGCGCGCGCTGACATCAGCGCGCCCAGGCTTCGCGGACCTCTCCGCCAGCAGCGGCAGCGCTGCCGCTGCTGGCGGAGACTTGCCGGCATGCCGAAGCCTGCGCACGCTGACATCAGCGCGCCCAGGCTTCGCGGACCTCTCCGCCAGCAGCGAGAACGTTCCCGCTGCTTGGGGAGAGTTGCCGGCATCCCGAAGCCTGCGCGCGCTGATCTCAGCGCGCCCAGGCTTCGCGGATCTCTCCACAAGCAGCGGGAACGTTCCCGCTGCTGGCGGAGAGTTGCCGGCATGCCGAAGCCTGTGCGCGCTGAGATCAGCGCGCCCAGGCTTCGCGGACCTCTCCTGCCTTCAAAAGCTGTCCGGGATAGCGGGAAGCGCTTCCCTGCTATCCCGGACTGCTTTTAAAATGCTGGCGCTGGGGAGCAAAGCCTTTCGGCCCCCGCCAGCCTTCCTGGACCTCTTCTGAAGGCCGGAGGGGGGGGGGAAGGCTTTGCTCCCCACCGCTAGCATTTAAAAGAGGTCCCCGGAGATTTCCCTATGGGCTTTCGTCTTGCGAAGCAAGCCCATAGGGAAATTCGTTTTGCGAAGCGCCTCCAAAACAGAAAACCCTTTCGTCTAGCGGGTTTTCCGTCTTGCGAGGCGTTCGTCTTGCGGGGTACCACTGTAATAATAATAATAATAATAATAATAATAATAATTTTTATTTATACCCCACCCTCCCCAGCCAAGTCCGGGCTCAGCGCGGCTAACAATCATTAATAAAAACAAGTTGATTGTAATACAACTTAAAAAACAAGATTAAAATACAACATTAAAACATTAAAATGCAGCCTCATCACAGGAGGAGAAAGGAAAAATCACTGATCGGCACTTACAGCAGGCCTTGCTTGTCTATAAGGCTCCTGATTGTTTCTTTGCAGCCATGTCTTCATTTGTCCCACACACATGAGGTCAGGTGAGGACCAGGTGACCAGAGTTGGGGAAAATGAGCGAATTGGGACATCTGCTGGTTCTGATTTGCAGGCTACAGTTTCACCAATCCTACTCTGAAACAGGGTGTGAAAAAGCTGCTGGAGTTTTTGGTTCCCCACTCCTCTCTGCTCCTTAGTGTCCTAGCAAACTGACCACAGTTTGTTAACATCAGTGCTGGGAACTGCTGCTAGTTTGAACTATGGTTTATTGAAGCAACTATCAGAACCTACGAAACATACCCCTCTGTAACCTAATAGTTTCCTCCAGAACGAGCAAGTATTTTCTTAGGATGTGCTGGATATTTCAGATGATATTATTTTAAAATAAATGTTACTGCACAAATATCATTCACTCAAGATGGTTTACAATCCCCCTGTGCTTATTATATTTATTTACTCACAGATTGTGAAGGGGCTCAACTCCAAGCAGCACTGCCTGTTGGAGAGTCCTACTGGAAGCGGGAAAAGCCTGGCGTTGCTTTGCTCTGCATTGTCATGGCAACAGTCACTTTACGGTAAGCCATTTAGTAGAGTCTCAGCTTTTGGAGTCTTTTCCCTAGAGAGGCCCGTCTGCATGGCTGTGCTTATTTTAGAAAGGCGACAGTATTTGATCATCAGGGCATTTGAAGGTGTTTGAGGGCAAGGGAGGGTGGGGCTTTTTTATCCCTCTGTAACAACTCATGCTGAAAATTCCTCTTTTACTCAAAGGTACAGGAGCCATCCTGGCCTTTTTTGGAGGGGAAGAGCCATAGAACATCCGCTATGCATGTGGGAGATCACAGGTTCAATCCCTGGAATCTCCAGGTAGGGCTGGGAGAGACTCTCTGCCTGAAATCCTGGAGAGCTGCTGCCAGTCAGTGTAGACAATACCGAGCTAGATGGACCAATGGTCTGAATCTGCATTGGGATCTCCCCATGTTCCTTTGCCTCTGGTCACCCTGTTCATAGGAAATGCATAGTCGGCTGCCTGAAATTATGTGGCCCAGTTGGCTGGAAGATGTCTTTTTTCCTGGGTCTGTAAATTATTCAAGTAGCTGTTGACTGTCATTTATTCATTATTGAGTTCTGCTGCAATGTTTAGCATACAATTCAGGAGGACAGTGGGGTCCCTGGGCACAAAAGGAATTACAATCCGAGGGAAAAGCAGCTCCACCTTCCAAGGATGAGGAGGTTGAGTAAGGTCTGAGCTCACCGCAGTGCATGACTCTGGTCCAGTCTGGGCATGTTACCTTACTGGATTCTCATTGCTTGATAACTAGAGCTGCCACCTAATCCTAATTCATCTTCGATTATTTCGAATTTGAGCTCACTGATGGGCAGAGCCCAGGTATGCTGGGGTGGGGTGAAATGTGAGCCTAAGAGGAGCCGGCTGGATCAAGCCAGTGGCTCATCTAGACCAGCATCTGGTTTTCACAGAGGCAAACCAGCTACCTGTGGGAAGCCTGCAACCAGGATCCAAGTGGTTTCCAGTGACTGGTATTCGGAAACATTACTGCTTCTGACCATGGAGGCAGAGCATAACCATGATGGCTAGTAGCCATTCATAGCCATGGATTGGTCCAGTCCTCTTTTAAAACCCTCTAAGCTGGTGACCGCCACTGCCTACTGTGGGAGCACGTTCCATAATTTAACTATGTTGCTGCAAAAAGAAGCACTTTCTTTTATCTGTCCTGATGTAGTAGATGCATTGTTGCTACACCAGCAGAATGACCATCTTATCCTATATCTGCTCAGCTTGAAAACGTTAAAACACACTTTATTTATTTATATACTGAGCTTAATTTTAAATTTAAAAATCCTACAGGGGTTTGCAAATCAAAGCATTCCTGGATACACTCCCCAAACCCACCAATGTGCTGATAATGATGGCCACATCAGTGATTTAGAGGAGATATCTACAAAATAAAATTACATGAAGTGTGCTTTAATTCCCCACAATATTTCAGGTCAAATTTGGGTTGGGGCAAAAATCAGCTTGGGGTACTGTGGTTTTTTTGGTTTGTTTTTTAAAGGATGCGGGTGGCGCTGTGGTCTAAACCACAGAGCCTAGGGCTTGCTGATCAGAAGGTCGACGGTTCGAATCCCTGAAACGGGATGAGCTCCCGTTGCTCGGTCCCTGCTCCTGCCAACCTAGCAGTTCGAAAGCACGTCAAAGTTCAAGTAGATAAATAGGTACCACTCCGGTGGGAAGGTAAACAGCGTTTCCGTGCACTGCTCTGGTTCGCCAGAAGCGGCTTAGTCATGCTGGTCATATGACCCGGAAGCTCTACGCCGGCTCCCTCGGCCAATAAAGCGAGATGAGCTCCGCAACCCCAGAGTCGTCTGCTACTGGACCTAACGGTCAGGGGTCCCTTTACCCTTTTACTGTTCTTTTAAAGCTGTGATTACGAAGTGTGTTTTAAGTGCAATATACAATGTGACACTAGATGGCAATGGTGAGCCCTATGGTAAACACTATATTTTAAAAAACACTCCTTTTTTATTTAAAAAAAGCATTTTCAAAGTGGTTTTATGTAGATTCCACCTAAATACAAGTAAAATAAAAATGCTAAATTAGATAATTTTGTAAGATTGGACTGAGGAACTTTTCTGAGCTTGAGGACTGTGTTCCCTAATGGGCAAGTTTCAGTGTGTGTGTGTGTGTGTGTGTGTGTGTGTGATATGCCAGTGGTGGGTGCAGCATCCGGTGTGACTCTTAACTTTGGGGGGGGGGCGGGGAAGGAAAGTCGGAGGTTTCTGCATAGATACCCACATACTACGTATATCTCTCCATCCTCCATCCAAGCAAGCAAGCAAGAACTATTACAAATCAAGGATACATTCCTGCTCACAAAAGCACTCAAGGAGGGTGTGAAGCAGGGCCTATTAGGGATGTAGCTGGCAGACAGCGTGCGAGTAGACTGGGAAAATCCCAATGGCTAAATAGGCAGGCCTGGCAGGCATTTGGCCCCAGAGTCTCATGTTGCCCACCGCTGCTCTGTGGCATTGGAAACTTTTCTGATGTAAACTGTTGCAACACACACCTCTCTGTGTCACGGCATGCAAGTGACACCATGAACCCTCTCTCCTGGAACACTTCTTGGTGGGTGACTCTTGTTGTGGTGGGAGGTCCAGCTGGATCAGGTCCCGAGGTTATCTTCACTGGGCTCCCTCTTTCTTGGAGTTTTAAAAAGAAGATAAATAATATTCCCCTATTTGCTCTTCAGACAAACCGCTTGATGACTTGCCATGTTCAAAGGAATGCAAGAAGCCAGAGACTATGATGCCATGCGGCTGTCGCTGTCATGCAGCTCAGGCCCAGAACAGTGTAGCGGTGAGCCAAGACGCATCTTGTTCCTTCACCAACAGCGGAACAGTGACACCCGTGAAAAGTGGAACCAAGTCAAGAAACAAAGGTAATTTTCAAACCACTTCTTGGAAGGTTTCTTAGACTGCTTTGAAGGGCACATGCAGCACTGATGTCCTTCAAGGGTGAGCTTGCAAAGACCCATTGTAAAATATAGCATCCAGGCAATTAGGTCAAAAAGCTTTACAATAGTTGGTGGCCTTAAAAGGAAAAGTTGGGATTATTGGTCAGATGTGTTAGTAATACGATATATGGGTTAGTATCTTCTGAGGTTCAATTCACAATTTCGTTCGAGGGGGATAGTAAACAGGGCACCATGGCCTTTTGAACCGTATGTCTGTGTGTGTTATTGTTTTCATTTGTTACTAGGTTATGAACTTTTGTGTTTTTATATTGTAAGCTGCCCTGTGATCCTCAGATGAAGGGCAGTAATATCAGAACTGTTGCATTAGGACCCCTGTAAGGAACCACTTTTGGCTGGAGGATAGGATTTGAAAATAACCCAACCCTTTGCAGGCTGCATTGACAGGTGGGCAGGGCAGACCCCCCTGCCTGTCAGCTGAAGTCAGGTGTAGGAAAAATAAATTAGCACAGAAACTGTTGGAAGTGTGCCTTTTGCATTTGACACCTTTCCTTGTCACTGTTTTTGGAAGGAATCTGAAACACTCAGAAACTCCTAAATATCTTTAGTTCATTCCAAAAGTTGCATGATAGGGAGCGAACCAAAGGTAAAACTGGGGCTGCAAAGAAAAATGGCTCTTTTTAAGCCATTACTTGTGTTTGTTTACTTAATAAATATACCCTTATTAAAACATAATACATTTAAGAAGTTTAAAATAAACAGTCTGTTGAAATTACATGTGTGGATAGGCTTGCTGGAACAAAATAGTTTTTAGCAGGCACAAAAAATACATCAAGGTGCCTACCTAATAGCAATGGGCAGGGAGTTTCAAAGTGTAGGACCTATTTCTTGAAAGTGCAGAATGACTCTGATCTGGAACTTGTAGAAGTTCCATACTTTTATTTGGCACTGTTTGCAGCTGTGACTTTGCCTGTCCCATACCTGATGTTAGGTGAGTGTTTCCCAAACATAGGTCTCCAGCTGTTTTTGGATTACAGCTCGCATCATCCCTAGCTAGCAGGACCAGTGGTCAGGGTTGATGGGCATTGTAGTCCAAAAACAGCTGGAGACCCAAGTTTGGGAAACCCTGTGATAGGTGGTAGCTGGGTGTGGCTTGGCCCTGTGGCCAAATGGGATGGAGGGGCTCGGTGAGCCTAATTGGACCTATGGGCCAGTGATTCCCCTCTGCTACATTAGGAGCTGCGAATGTTACAGCAGAGACATGAAAAATGTTGGATTGAAGGGCTGTTTTATCTTTTATTTTGGCTTCCAGATTTTGTTGGAAAAGGTTTTTATAAGATTCAATAAAGAATAGTTTCTTCTCCAGCATCTATTCAGTGATATTAGGACAAATCAGAAGGATCCCTTTGGAGCAGCACTAGTGTCAATGTGGTCAGCCAGCTGTGGAAACCTTGGAACACACAGTGCTGCAGCAGAGTCGGTGTATACTGCCCAAGGCAGAGGCCTCATCTGCACTACACATTTAAAGCAGCATCGTACCTTTTAAACATCCATGGCGTCCCCAAAGAAGCCTGGGAACTACAACTTGTTAAGGGTGCTGAGAGTTGTTAGGAGGCTCCAATTCCTCTCACAGAGCTACAGTTCACACCTTCTCTGAGATGAGGGATTGACTATTAAACCACTCTGCAAATGGTAGCTCTACGAGGTGTATTAGGGGTCTGATAGTGGTATGATTCTGCTTTAAATGTATTGTGCAGATGGAGCTAGAAATTCATAACAAAGCAGTTGGGGAAGGGGAGGTCATACTGATCTTTCTGCTGACCAGCAGAGGAGTTTGCTAGCTTTGGGTTATAATATTGAATTCAATTATAAATGTTAGCATTTCACTTCTTTTCTAATGTGCTGTTGTGTGCTAGTTTTGTTATAATGTGGGTAGCTGGCGGTGCTGTTTTGTTCTTGCCATGTTCGTCGTGATTTTTTTTTTCTACAGTGGCTAAATAATAGGGATTTTCTACTTTATATGTTGCCATAGCAGATGAGATATCAAGAACCACACTCGCTTCCAAACTATCTGCAAAGAAGCAGGCGTCTTTGCATGAAGATGGAGATGATGATTTTATAGTAGATAGGAAAAGGATTCGTTCATTAGAAACAGACCAGCAGGTGAGTAAAGTTTTCTGCCAGCAAAATTAATTCAGGTGTACATCAGTCCAATTATGGATCAGCATGTCAATTAAAAATGTACAGATTAGTAGGACTGAATCACAACCCAAACCAGACTGTTGATTGCTTTTTTTTCTGTTTCTCCCACAGAAGCCTGTTATTAGTTCAGCCTTGTATTTAAGCACTAGTCTGGTTGCTTGCAGTGACCAGGAATTGCATGCAGATGAATGAGCAGGTTTGCGGAGGATGGATGGAACATACAGGGTTCATCCAGACTTATGCTTGTCCCATTACTTTCCTCCAGGAAAACACAATCTTTTTGACACTTGCTTCAGTTCAGTGCTAAAGACTGGGTTTTCCCCAGCAAAGCAGTCGGGCAAACAGAAAACTGCTGGAAACTGTGTCCAAAAAGCATGGGATAAGCAGAAAACCACTTGAACCCATTCTTCCTAGTGGAAGTCTAGATGGGCCCTCAGTTTCCCCTTTGCACCTTTCATAGAAATGAAGGTAGAAGCTGTCTCTTCTGTTCTCAGCATTTAAATTCAATTATATGTTTTTCCCCTGTCAGTGCCCAATGGGCTAATAATTGGGTTTTTAAAAAAATAGGCTATTAAGTTTTGGGAACATTTACAAGGCAAGATTAATTACAGGCATATCTTAAAATTGAAGTGCTTTATTTTATTGAAGTGCTGTCCGCTGATGTTTTTTAAAAAATGTTTGTGTTCATTTATCGTCTGCCTTTTAATCAACTGACTAAATGTAAAGACAAATGCATATCACTGAAACTTTCTGAGATACTGGAGAAAGTGTGAGATAACTGGACATAAAATGAATGAAACCTGCTAGTCATTTTGGAAGGACAGTCCATCTTTATTACGTTTTTCATGCCTTGTTACAACACCAGAGCTAAAATGGTTTTAAAATGTTGTTCCATTTGACTCGCAACAATTAGAATTTCTGTTAATCTAAAATTCAGTTGATGTAAAATTTAGTTTATATTTTTTTCCTCCAGATACTGCTGATCTACAACTCTCATTATCCCTGACTATTGTCCCTCTTTGCTGGGGGTGATGGGAGTTGTAGCTCAGCAACATTTGGAGGGCCACAGAAATTCCTCGTCCCTGATCTTACTGGTTAAAGCATGCAGCCTTTCTATTCCCCAAACATCTTAAACTGTAGCTGTGTTAGAATGTAGGTTCATCATAGCTAGGACAGAGTTGGCAAAAAACTGGGGCACTTTGTGGGCACTTTCTTGAGGATGGAAAGGAACAGAGGCCGAAACTGATGGGGCAAGATGGATTTTCTTGCAGAGTAGATGACATTCCAGCCACTCAAAGGTTTTTCTACAAATACAGCCATCCATGCAACTACTAAGCATGATCACAGTTAAAGGACATTGTCAGGGGTTCAGGAGCAGAGGGACAGGAAAGGGAGGAATTAGAGACCGAGGGGGAGGAATCCGAGGGAGAAGTTAGCGATGATAGCCGCCCGAGGTCTCTAAGTCTCTCCAGCGAATCGGAGGATTCACAGAAAGGGGCTCCCGTGGTCAGAGCTAGGGGGTTGCCAGAGGGAACACCCCAGGAAGGAGGGGCCAGAGGGGACTCAGAGAGCAGCAGTTGGAAATCGGGACCAGCTTCCCCACCGGAGAGCAGTAGGGGGGAGGAGTCCCAGGCATCGGCATCAGGCAGCTTTCCGTCAGCGGAAGGACATGAGTCAGGGTTAGCCACGCCTGCATCAGAGAGTGAGGAAAAGGTCGAAAGGAAGGTCGGAGGCAGCGCGCGCGCGCCAAGTTCAAATGTACAAGAGGGTGGCGCGATGAGCAGCCCGGATAGGGAGCCAGGTCCTAAAGCCCGCCGAAGGGAGGGGGAAGAGTCCGAGGGGTCCGCTTCCGAAGCGTCCAGGAAGGAAGGGACCCCGGGGGGTGGTAGGACCCAGAGGCGGAAGGAGAGACGGAAGAGGTGGAGTAAGGCTAGAGTCTTAAGCTGGTGTACAGGGGGCGGAGACTCAGACGGAGCTTCGTCGGTCTAGGCTCTAGACGTAGAGACGCACGCTAGGGTTTGAAAATGGAAACTATGCTTCAATAAAGACTTTTGTACAGTTCAACTGGCTAGCGTTGGTCCTCTGTGAGCTGGGACCTGGAGGCAGTCTCTGACAGACATGTTCCAGCCAGGCAAAAAGGACACAATAACAGGGCTAGAGAGTGTTATGGTCTGGGAGAGGGGTGTGTGGCTTCAGCAGAGTCCCAAGGGCTAAATAGAGAAACCTGGAGTGTGCATTTGGCCCCTGTGCCCGAATTCCCCACGCCTGCAATAGTTGGGTCCTAGCTCAGCAATTTAAGACCCAAATGGCAGAGACAATAGCAAACTAGACACGCCAGTAGTCTGACTCATGTCTTCCTCATTATGGAGTTTCAGTTACATTCTAGGGTGGATTCTTCTGATACAGGACCATGCTAACATCCAGCTGGCCTGGCCACTTTCCTAGGTGAACTCTGTCCTCTAGCAAATGCCTAGAATACTTTGCAGTGTCCATGGCAGACCGGTTGTGGGGAAAGGAATCCCATCAATGTAGGAACTTTTGAAAAGCCGCTGGGTTAAAAGGAGACATTGTGCCTCCTACCTGAGTTTTATAGGCATGTTGGGTGTTCCTTACAGGCAAGGAAACGGCACCGGCTGTCCCAAGGAACCCAATTGGTTGACGCTCTGGAGGTTTACCGGCAGCAGAAAAATGGGGAATTGACTGTGTGCTCTGAAAAATCGGCCCCTTTCTCTCTCAAAACAGTAAGTATGGTAGCTCTGGATTCAAGAAGCAAAGACCAATTATGTTGTTGCAGAAGAGTTGAGCATGGAAACCCAGGTGTTCTAGCTGGCCCATCTGTAGCTCCCTTTCCACCTGCTCCTTCTCCTTTTGGTGCTTTAACATTAAGAAGTTCTTACTCCAACAATGACCTTGGCAGGCTTGGTATTCAAGGCATCCCCTGCTTGAGAGTTTGCATCTCTCCTGTGCTCTTTTATTTCAGTTTTTCTGGCCTTTGATGTTTATGGTATGTACAGTTTTGTTTTAAAGAAAGTATCCTTTTTCTTTCTAGCATTTCATAGTCAACATTTCTTCTTGTGGAGGTTATATAGTGGTGTATATCACCTGAATGTTATTTGATAACCGTTTTATATTGAAGGAATATAATGAGAGAGAATTGCCACTTTTCTATTGCCATGTTTCTTTCATACTCTGAACCACTTGCTGTTCTTGTTCACTTACCACAGTGTCTCCCAGCCTTCTAATAGTGGAAACACGGTTTGGCTCAAAAATAAAAGTGGATAGATGCTTTGCTCTTGTACCCTCAGGAGGTTTACTTTAAGAACATTCTCCCCCTAGAGCTGTGTCTGTCTCCCATGTTGCTGGCTTTCGAACATCAATTGGACACCTTTTTTATTTACCCAGGCTTTTGCAGTCTGATAATAGCTGTTCAGGAGTAAACTTTCTGTCTGTTTTAATGATTTTTTATAATGTTTTTAGTTTGCTGTATTTTGATAGACATCCCCTTGAGCTCTTTTGAGGAAGGGAAATCTATAAATATTATTATTTTTTTAAAAAAGAGCAGTTATGAGTAAGTGATTGCCAACTCTGAAAAATGCCCAACCTCTTTCTGTGAAGAAAGTCTGTGTGCGCCTCCTACTTGGAAGAAGGCAATCCCAGTGCAGTGACTCATGCAGAGATACAATAGGCAGCCTTTTCTGATGTCAAGTAATTCTTAGGTGCACTGTATTGAGAGAGAAATTCAGTATTTCAGTTGCTCCTGCTGTAGAGATGGGAGGGAATAGCTTACCCCCTGAAAAGACTATTGGATAGATGTAGAGCAAAAATGCTGGCTCAGCCAAAGATGCAGTGGGCAGCCTATTTTGTCAGTGGGTAATAGACTCACAGAACCTCTCAGTTTTATTTATTTATGTATTGGGGCGCTTGAAGCATTCACTGTGGACAGTTCAGGATTTCCTGACTTATTTTGGCCAGTTTTTTTTTGTTATGTCAAAACTCAATTGACAGCACTTGTAAAATGCTGCCTCTGAACACATTCTTCATGCTGTCTCTTTTTTAAAAAGTATGTTTCAAAAAGGTGGCCCAGGGATTTTTGTACCCCAGGCATGTGGCTAGTTTGGTTCTCTGCCTGGGCTGGCTCGTTTTACGACTCCTCTTGAAGGGATGATAGGAACAGCTGAACAAGCGCATGGACTATTACTGACACGAGTAAGTGCTTACTTTTTGTGTGTGCTGTGAGTTAATGACCTCAGCTGCCACAATGACTTAATAAGTTGGGCAACTTGTATTGATTTTCATTGTTGCTGTTGTAAGTGTCTAACTGAAAATCAGTGACTGCACAATTAAGTTGCTTCTATAGTTAGCGTCCTTCTTTAGTGGAGTTGAGGGTTATGGGAAATCAATAGGGATTCCTTCAGCAAAATTGCTTCACAAGTAGTGACTTCAGATAAACCCTGTCCCTTTGGAATGTACAACAGCCCAGGCTCTCATCCAAGCTTTGAAGTGAAACAAAAAAATCAACTATTTCTTTTTTTAAAAAATCTCTTCTTGTTCAGACAAAATGGCAAACCATAGTTTGCCTCACAGCAGGAAAGGAGGGAGGGAATCACCACATGTGAATAAAGGATGATGTGTACAAGTGCATGTGTCACTGAGGCTTGGGTAAATCGCACCAAACCATGGAGAACACTGAAGGCCCAACCCTTGTCTGCTGAGAATCTTGTCCAGGAGCCACACTGGCTTCTACTAGGCATTAGCTGCACACAAAATACGTTTGGATATCCTACTAAACTGTGGTTTAACCAGACGTAAGCAAGGCTAGCCTTCTCCAAGGTTTGCATTCTCTTCCCTCCCTCCTTCTCCAGCAAGTTTGGGCTGCGAGTTTTGCTTTTAGTTTTTGGCCAATGGCAGCTTGCCAAAACTATTAACTATGGTTCCTTTAAATGTGCCAGCGTCAAAAACCACTATTTGAAGTTGACTTGCTTGACACCAGCCACAGCTAACGCGCAAACTACAGAAAAACGCAACTAACTGGTTAATGAAAAGTAATGTGAAAGTAGGGGCGAGCCCAATAAGAGGCTGGACTCATTCACACCCTGCTGACTGTAGTTCAGTGTCACATCTGCATGCAGTCAATTTTTCAAACATATATTCTCAGTCGTAAGGGGAAAAAAAAGTTTTTTAACCAGTCAGAGCTGAGATTCCCAGGAAGCTGAATTCTACAAGCTGTGGTTCAATGTTATGTTTGGACTACCTCAGATTCTTTGAAAGGTTGTCTCTACAGGTGCGGAACCCAAAACAATGAGTTGTTTTTGAAACTGTGAAGGCCAGTTCATGCATGTTTCTTTGTCTTTGACACTAAGTGGTGCCTTGCATGTGGGAATAAGCAGTTGCAGGTATGAAAGCACAGATAAAACCTCCATCTTGTGTCTGGTCCAGAAGATGCAGCTAATGCAGAATGCAGCAGCCAGACTGCTCACAGGACCAGGCTACTGGCAGCATGCCACTCTGTTGCCAGTGGTTACCAGTTTGCTACTGGACCAAGTTCAAAGTTCTTGTGTTACTTCACAAAGCCCTGAACAACTTGGGCCCAAGGCACCTTAAGGACCACTTGGTTTCTTATGCTCCGCCTTGATTTCTGAGATCTTCTAATGGGACATTTTTGGTGGTCCTGTTGACTCCCACATGCCAACAGATATTTGTCAGAAGCCACCACTGCTCCTTATTAGATGCCTTCCTAGAAACACTACTATTCAGGCAGGCCTTTCAAACCAGAGATTCTTTATCCAACTAACTTTTACTGATGTGCATATATATATATATCATATGAAAACATGGTTTATAAATCTTTAAATAAATAATTGAAGGTATCTAGAATCCTAAAATCAGCTGGGGCACGTAATACTTTTCAGTGGAGACAGCTCAGGTGTTTGGCCGAGAGTCACCAAAACGTTGGTGACCAAATGACTTGGTCACATGACTTGGGTGTGTAAATACTGCCCGTGGCCTTGGATGTTATGGAAAGCAATGGAAGGGGCCTTTCTTTTACATTACTGTGTAATATTCATGCTCGTTTCAGTGGAATCTTGTAAGCTTTTAAAACCAGTTGGGGACGGGAGATCTTTTAAACAATTTTAAGTGATTTATTAATCAGAGCTCAAATAGTGTTCCAAGTTAAAGCCGTTTCTTTAAGTACTGAATAATTTTGAAATTCCATTAAATGCAAATGGGTCAGATTGTCTGCCAAGGTAACTCCATTGATTTTTTTCCCCTTCACTGAAAGCATGTCAGCAGAAAAATCTGGCCCTGTGAATCAATGTATGAACTTTTAATAATATATGACACACCTACTGAACTCTCACTTGCGTAAATCTGTTTTGTTTAATACAGTGTAGGTGTATTGATTGGAATGCAGAGCATTCTGAGAAGGCGGAATGAGTGGGTCCTGAACTGTCTGTCTGTCTGTCTATCTATCTATCTATCTATCTATCTATCTATCTATCTATCTATCCATCTAGATTGTTTCCTCCAATAAGTCACAGTGATGTAAAACAGCTATCTCCACTCCCCATTTTATCCTTGCAATAACCCTGTGAGGTAGGTTAGGCTAAGAGATAGCTCCTGGCCCAAATTCTTCCAGTGAGAGCTTCATGACTGAGTCAGAATTTGACCCCTGGTTCCCCCCGTCTTAGTCCAACACTATACAACACCTCGGCTCTTCTCTCTCCCTCCCTGGCTTCTTTAACCTTTAAAGTGCTAGTTTTATGCTTTAAAGCCTTAATTGATTAGGAACCAAGCTACTAAAGTCTGCTGCACCTATATCAGTCTTCCCGTTTTTTAAGATCAGAAATGGAGGCCCATCTCACCTGCCTGCTGTGCCAGCAGTTAGATTGGTGGGCGCTAGGAGATTGGAGATGGCCTTATTTGTAGTAGCTCCATGTCTCTGGAATGCTTTAGCATCTGGGGTCTGGCAGCCCCATTATTACCAGCACATTCAAAAGGCTCTGAAGACATACCTGTTTTTCTTTGAGGAGTACTTGTTGGATTAATGTTTTTTGTTGTATCTTGTTACTGGATTTTAACATTTTTAGGCTTCCTCTTCTGTTGAGCATTGCTGGTTTTATTTATTGTTTTGTTGTGCTCTGATTTATCTTCTAAGCCTCTGTAAGATGACTTTAGCTCTTAAAGGTGACTTTAAAATATTTGCAGGGAATCATTTTTTTAAAACTGTAAAGTGGTTCAGTCCATTCTACCACCTCACTGCACTGCATGGGTGGGTATGTGTGTACATGTACACACACAGATGGAATAACAACCATTCCCATTGTAGCTTTACTAGACAAATGGTTGCAATTCAACCAGATTTACTCAGAATTAGATACATTGAAATTAATGTACCTAACATTCATCCTCATTAATTTCAGTGGATTTAAAATTTATATTGCGCTCATCACTAACAAAAAAAGTTTTTTTGCTAAAAAGAAGAGGATCTATGTCTGTTTTAGTGCGCAATAATTTTTTATTAGTGTACAGAAAAGCTTTGTAGAATTTAAAATCTGCCAAACTCTGTGGTATTTCATTGTCAAGAACTCTGGAGCCCGGCAGGGGGCACTGTTGGTTTTCAGATGCAAACGCTTAAAAAGAACCTGAACAACATCAAACTTCAAGTTCTCTTCTGAATTACAACAGAAATCCATGATTGCTGAGCCAACTACAGGTTTCTCTCTCTCTTTATATATATGCG